GACCTGAGAACGTCGGCATGTTTTGTTAAGGATTTCGGAGAAAGACTCATCACATTATCTAGGAATTAGTAAACGCATATTTTAAGAGATAAAGATATCGGATGCTTTAGCATTTTAAATAGTTGACGGGGTATTTTACAGATGAATGAGCACAAAAAAGATAAGGCAAATCTTTCAGATCCTACACTCTAGAATATACGATTCATTTTCTGAACTTAAGAGGTATAAAGATAATTGACGCTTTTTACGACGCAAGCCTTTACGCAAATGGAAATTTTTTTAATAACACCTTAGCTATACGTACGGACTCTGAAAGTCGATTCGAGCCTGCGGCCTTTAAGTACCTCGGTGCAACGGCGTTTTTGCGCCCGATGTATTAACTTTCCGATAGACGGCCGCGCGTATCCGCGATTCCGCCTTGTATGCGCCCCATACAATATGCATCTTCATTCGGAACCAGTTTTTCTGCCAGCGAACACGAGCGCGCGCGCGCATTTTAAAGAGTCACCCATCTGGATCGACGGCGGCGGCGGCGCATATTGCAGACGCAAGCCGGGGCATAAAAGAATCCTATCCGTAATCGCGCCGCGGCTCCTCTTGGGCCGACGCGTTCTCATACCGCGCAGGAAGCCCGTCCTGTCTGTCGGGTCTCTCTCCAAGTTCTTCCGGGAAGGTCGATCGCGCAGAGCCGCAGGCAAGTTTCCACGTAATTCCAGCGGGATGCGAACCGGAGGAAGGCGAAGGATCGCTCGCTCTTGTTCGGAATTTAATGCCACCCCCCCCCCCCCCCCCCCCCCCCCCCAAAGGCAAATCTAGGAATTAGTAAACGCATATTTTAAGAGATAAAGATATCGGATGCTTTAGCATTTTAAATAGTTGACGGGGTATTTTACAGATGAATGAGCACAAAAAAGATAAGGCAAATCTTTCAGATCCTACACTCTAGAATATACGATTCATTTTCTGAACTTAAGAGGTATAAAGATAATTGACGCTTTTTACGACGCAAGCCTTTACGCAAATGGAAATTTTTTTAATAACACCTTAGCTATACGTACGGACTCTGAAAGTCGATTCGAGCCTGCGGCCTTTAAGTACCTCGGTGCAACGGCGTTTTTGCGCCCGATGTATTAACTTTCCGATAGACGGCCGCGCGTATCCGCGATTCCGCCTTGTATGCGCCCCATACAATATGCATCTTCATTCGGAACCAGTTTTTCTGCCAGCGAACACGAGCGCGCGCGCGCATTTTAAAGAGTCACCCATCTGGATCGACGGCGGCGGCGGCGCATATTGCAGACGCAAGCCGGGGCATAAAAGAATCCTATCCGTAATCGCGCCGCGGCTCCTCTTGGGCCGACGCGTTCTCATACCGCGCAGGAAGCCCGTCCTGTCTGTCGGGTCTCTCTCCAAGTTCTTCCGGGAAGGTCGATCGCGCAGAGCCGCAGGCAAGTTTCCACGTAATTCCAGCGGGATGCGAACCGGAGGAAGGCGAAGGATCGCTCGCTCTTGTTCGGAATTTAATGCCCCCCCCCCCCCCCTCCTCCTCCTCTCCGATAGGCGAAGATGCTCGCCCTCGCCGCACGAGATTCGTCTTTTTACGCTGGCAAAAATCGTTTATTCATGAAGCCCCCTTAAATTGCGTCATTTATCCCATAAGAACATTGAGAGAGTAAGTTTGTTTCTTTTTTTTGCAAGATGAAAATTTAAAAGTTTCGATTAAACTGCACGTTTTTTTGTTGGACCAGAAAATTATCAGAAACATTGCATCTCTCGCTGATCATACTTCTTGCAGAATTATTAAATTCTTGTAATTTAAGGGCAATCAACGCGATATACACGCGAAATGTGTTTCAAGGAAGAGCTTATTCTATATTATCACATTTATTTATTTTTTCGTCATTTACATATAATATCGTTGGGATTTATGAAGTCTATATTTCTCTGCATTAGTTACAACTAAAATCAACATATGTCAATTGATAAATATATAATAGCATTTTTATTTATTATTTACATACAAATTAAAAAAAATGCAAATCAATCGAATTAAAGTTTGGTAAGCTCTTTTCATTTAGATTCTCTAGAGATATAATGTGTAGTAAAACAATGAACTTATTTTTCTAAATTATATTTTTATGAGATAAATGGTTGATTATTATTTACATTCAGTCAGTTTAAATGTATTTGTATTTTTTATTACTATTTTTTTGTTATGTGTTTTCTTTAAGATTCATTCTTTAGTATTTTTCGAAAAAAAAAGAAAACATCATCAGACGCGCAGGATCTATTGATCTTGCATCTCTTGATTCATAGCATAATCTTTGGCATACTTGCACAAATTTTATAGCGTTTTCGAGTGAAGCAGATTTGATCGCTTTGAGAGCTTAATTCAATTTGCCATAAACATTGTTCAACCGAAAAAGGGTTTTGAATTTAATTAATATAACTAAAACATTACTAACATATAAATAATATAAAGTACATCCCGTTTGACGCTATTTATCTAATAATCCAAATATCTCGAGTAACTCAAGACGAAGTTTATGATGTCATTAATCGCTCTCACAGCGATCAAATTTGCTTCATTCGAAAACGCTATTAGATCCAGCGTCCTCCATTAGGCAGGTAATAAGAAGGAATGTAACATATGCAGTTCGTTGTTTATGTCGTCGTTCGGAAAATTGGAAACGGCAATATAATGCATCGGACCCTGACCTCCTCGGTGAACTCTCCCCCTTTTCCCGATGATGGTGACGACGACGGCGATATTGATGGTGGTGGCGAAATACAAGATAGCTTTTAGCGTTTTTTTTTTCTCCTTCACATTTCCTCCGGCGAAGAAGCGATAATAAGCGATATAATAGTACGATATAATAGTACGGTCCGTAATTTTCCGATGCACTTCCGGAGGTGTCGCCGATTTATTCCGCACGGTTATCGATTTGTCGTTCCTCTTTTTTCTTCTTCAGTCTCTAACGCGCCTCGGGCGATCGATTGATCGATCGTTTCGTCTGACACGAAATATTCTATTGGAATATTCTATTGAGCGGCATCTTTCTGCATCTATGCATCTCTTCGCGTTGCTACGCGAGATAATTGGCCAAAGCCGACAGGCGATCGTTCTCTTCGGATTTTCCGAGGAAGTCTCAGAGATGATATCTGTGTTGAAGATTGCTATAAATCGTACTTCTCTTGAGAAACGTGCACAGTCAAGAGATTTATAAAATATCTTAGACTTTTATTTTTATGACAGATTACTTTAAACAATTTAAATTTGTTCTAACAATTAAAAAAAAAAAAAAACAGAGAATCTTTTAATTCTAAGTGAGCTTAAGCAATAAACGGTGTATTTAAATTTAAATTTCTTAAAACTTTAATTTAAAGTACTATCAACGATATTTAATATTAATTATAAATATAATTAAATATTAGGTATAATTTAATATTAGGTATCGCGAAAAGTGGCAGCGAATAAGAGAGATCAAAATTATTCCAATTTCATTGAAACTGAGGTAAAGGATTCTAGAGAAGCTCTCGCTCACGATCTATATTGACTTTATGCCAATATAATTAAACATCACGCTCGTAAAAGCTTACATCATTGCAACATTGTAGGCTGCATTGTTTACGCGTCGATCGTTCGCGGTTATCCGCCAATGTTACCGCGGGACGTTTATCTGAACCGCGAAGCATTGCGGCCGCAAATATTTCAATCTGTTACATCAGTGGCCGGCAACGGAAAAGTGCTGCCGTCTAAATATTTGCCGAGCACTTGGACGATGGTTACTCGGGCCGCGTGACTATTTGTTTCTTCACGCTCGTGGGAAGCCGCGCACGCATCAGCAGAAGTATCTTTCAGGTTGTGCGTATCGGCTCGACACGCATGTGTGCCACAAAGCGCGATACGAAGTATACAAAGTATCAAACGATCGGGAAAAAAGTATAAATCACCGTTGAAAAGATCAATAATAAATACAAAATCTATTCTAGTAGATAAATACTTCTAGCTTTTGATCCAACGCTATTAAGTGGTATAAATCTACTGCGCAGAAACATATTCCGGGCAAAACTCGTTGGTTTAGTTACGAGATGATTTTATTACGTTCCTTGGTACAGTGGAAGAGAATCAACAGAAGTGTGTTTGGTAACAACCGCTGTATATAGTCGTTCGATATATATTGCGTATCTCTTCATTGTCGCGGTTGGATATCGTGCTTGCGGAGCCTGGGATCTGAAAAAATTCTTACGATCCTTTCCATTCTACGCGAGGCAGGCACTTTGCATACATTATATAGCGCGCGAACGCTCTCGTAAGAAAATTATCGCGAACAAAGCGCGCGACTGTTATTGGTCCCGCCGGATTAAACACATATATACCCTCCCCCGTCCCGTACATTCTTCCCATTAATTAGCCACGAAAAAGCGGAATCATGGCGCCAGCCAGTGAATCACTCAAACTATACGTTACGCCGTTCAACTTTGCCTATTTCGATAATACGCCGCAGGCATATGGAATAAAATTATCGCGCCGCAGCGCCGGCGCGTGTAGATGCACTTACGTAAACCGCGTTCGACTTCATCGTGTTCGTGTATAATATAATACGCGTGCGTCGCACCTGCGTAGCGGCGTATCGATACGTATTACGTGCAATCACACAAGTCGAGATACGTCTGATATATATGCGCAGATAACTCCCGAGGTTTTCGTGAAGGATGATGAAGCGATCAATCATATGTCGATAGATTTTTTTTTAAAACCAATTTCATAGAATTTGAATTCTGTTTTTTTGTGTATTTAAAATTCCATTTCATCTTTTTCATCCAAATAAAAAAATGCCATTAAAACGCATTAAAATATCTCTTTTTTTTTTAAGAAGCCAAATAATTTTATGAATTGGAATTTTATTTATTTAAAAAAAAAAAGAATTTAATTCAGGGTATAATGGCTTATGGCTTGTCATCATGATTTTTTTTTTTATTTAAAACATTTAAAATAAATTAGAATATAACACGAAGATGTCTAAGAAGAAGCGCCAGCTTCCAATTGTTCGTTTTCAGCAATATTGGTAGTTTCTTGATAGTTGTCGAGACGTTCGATCGCGTGAATCAGACGCTTCTTTAATTTTGCGAATTCTTTGGATAATATATTTTTATATATATAATTTTTTATTTATTATTAACTTTGGTGTGAAAATTATATATGTATATCATATATTATGAGAAATTAATATACATATTTAGAAATTTGACATCTCAGAATTAATAGAAATAAATTAAATGTGTATATATTGAAAATTGTTTAAATAATATATTTTTTAAATTAAAATTACATTTTAGACGTATGTGTCGAGTGTGAATTTTTTCCCGCTTAAAGCGGAAAGATTGACCGATAGTACTTACGAGTTCGTCGCGCAGCTGCGGCTCGAATCCGATTGCGGCTTCGAGCATCGTGTACTTATCATCGTTTACATTGAGCCGCAACAGTAGGAGCAGTAACCTCACGGCACACCGCAAACCGTGGCCGGTGCGTTCTCGTTCCTGCAACAGCCCAATTATCGCGTCTCGCGTTACGTCAAACGAACACTGACGGACTGTATATCGTCGACTTGTCTATGCTACTCGTTTTGACGATGCGAGCCAAAATTTGGGAATTTTTTCAGAAATCAATACTAGTATAATTTTGACAAAAAGTCGGGGATTCTCACTGCTTTTTTTTATAACTTTTTAAATTAATTTTTTTGTCTTTTATAATTTGTAATGTTTCCAGGATAAAGTCTTCATCGAAATTATACCGATTTTAATTCCTCTCAGATCCTCGAAGGAAAAAAGATTAATTTTAGAATAAAATTAAAAACTTGCTCGCTGATTCACTTTTATTCGCCTCGGTATATTCTCTCGATGGAAGTAGCGATTATTCTCGCGCTCCATCTACTTTCCCTTCAATATACCAGTTATTAATTTTAATTTGATTCTTGATCACATCCGCCAATTACATACACATTAATTTCTGATTGTACTTCCTAAGAATTGAACTGTACAGATAGGATAGAAAAAAATTCAACAATAGTAGCCAATTTCTTATTACAAAGTCGCAAAAATGCATCGATTACACATCGATTATTTTTAATTTGCCTTGATTTCTCGCGCTTTCAGGTCAAGCCGGCCACAATGACGGCGAAAGGATATTCTTCTCGTTGTCTCTCTCTTCATTATCTATCTAAACACAGCTCGCGTCCTTTCCCGGGAGTGCCATAAATCTCGCAAATAATAAGCCATTCGAGCGCAACGAGAGGAATCGAGTAACGATCACATGGCAACGGGTTCAAGCGCGTTGATACGATTTCGCGAAATCGCGTTGGCGCGATCGCCATCTCCGCTTCCAGATCAGTGGGCGATAAAGCGTGGCATACTGTATCGGCCGCGATCGCGATCGATGCGGCTCTCTCGCGTATTTTATACGATCGAGATTACGGTCACCGCTCCCACCGTCGCTGCCAGCATCGAATGAATATGAGCTCGAGCAACTATACAGGCCAATTATCGTGCACAACTTGCGAGCAATACCGATATATTCCTAATTCCGAGACAATTTTAATTGCAGTATTATACGATATTCATCACCCATTTTTTCGACAAAAATTATATAAAAGTTATAGATGAAAATATTTTGCAGTTAATCCGTTACAAAAATAAAAAAGATTTTGATATATAAATATCGCAATTATCGTTTTGAATATAAAAATCAAATCTTATCTTTGCGTCCAAGTGGCCGATGGATTTTTTAGATATAGATCGTAGGAAAGCGCTCAGACTAGCATCGGTGATCTCTTCCCAGTCCTGTGGAACCGATCGATCGTATGCTTATCAGAAAAGAAATAGTAGAGGGGAATGGCAGCGACACGGTCAGTCAAACGCGTGACAACGATAACGAGATCTCGCTACGATGATGGCGAACATTAGCCAATCTAACTCTTATAACTGAAGAAATATCTCTGCGTTTGTATTTTTAATTATGTACAAAATATATTATAAATTTGATTAAATGCGAAACATATGCGATATCACAGTATTTGCTAATCATTTATGTACCTCAGTTAATTTTGCGCACCCAGAAAATTTTTGCTGTAGTTGCAATACCACTTTTTTGAGTGATATAAAAAAAAAGAGAATTTTTATTGTTAAAATATTAGAACAAGTGCTAAGAAATATATGAGACGGTTTTATTGGCTACACGCGCGCAATATAAAAATTTGTTGATGAGAATCAAATTATTGCTTCCACAATTTTACGATGAAACGAAATCGGAATCGCGAGACGCGCAATATAAAAATTTGTTGAGAATCAAATTATTGCTTCCACAATTTTACGATGAAACGAAATCGGAATCGCGAGCGTTGGACATATCTAGATCGAATGATGGTAAGGGCAAAGATCGATCATATAACGAGTTAGCTGTATAGGGAGAAGAAGACGGTAAGAAATTCGGTCAATTACCGCTCGTGCGATCGCGAGATCGTCCAGAAGCGCGAAGATCGCGCGATAGGTCGATTCCAAGAGGAACGGCAGTCCGGTCGCGGTCAGAGATCGGGTGTTTCGCTCCCTCACGGCGCGCAGCATCCTCCTCTCGATGTTTCTCAATTGGGTCGATAGCAGCCCGATCTCGTTCTGTACTTGCGAACAAAAAAGAACATGCCGAGAAGGAGAGAAACGGGGGTAATTAATCGACGGCGACGGCGATGTTAATGAATCGGACGCCGCCGACGTCGTCATCGTCGTCGTCGTGATTGCGAGAGAAGCTGATCTTAAATCTTACGGTAGCGGCGAAAGCATAAGCTTTTAAGAAAGAGAAAGAAAGAGAGAGAAATAGAAATAAAAAACAAAATGTTTTTCCAAAATTTAATATATCAAGATACATATATGTAACTTTGTGAAAATTTGTAATTTATTAACGCTTTAAATTTGTTGTACGATGAAAAATGAAATAGAAATTGAAGTATTAATAATACAGTAAGAAAGGGATAAAAATTAGCATTGGTAAGAATAGGACTTTAAATTAAAAAAAAATTAAATTAAAATTAAAATTATATTAAAAGTCTCGTCTGAAAGACATAAATATGGATGCATTTCTTTAATCAAGCGCTATTCTATTCGATCATTGCGTACCAAGATTAGACGCAGTTTGTATTTAATTCTTATTTAAATGAATTACCGTGATTCTGTCGGCCTCCTGGCGGGTACGAAAGTGGGCCTCCATCTGAGACTGAACTAGCTGTATGTGATTTTGCGCGATGGTGGTCGTAAAGTTCCCGGTGGTCTTGTCTTTGAGTCTATTCACCAACTGTTGAATCACCAAGGTCATCGAGAGCCCATCGTTCGATTGCACTCGATATCGATTGCTGGTAGCACCGGAAATGATTGTCACCACGCTACCAGTTTGCACGTGTTGCAAGCCGAGCGTATTCCAATTTTGTCTCTGCACGTCTCCTGTAAGCTCTATGAAGAATTATTGTAAATTAAGAGCTTTCTTCGCGAGCTAAATTTTTTGGAAAATTATTAGATCAGAAAATCTCACTGTTTAGATGCATTTTCATGCAAACTTTACTTTTTAACAATTTTTATTTCATATTTCAAGATATGTGCATATTTAACAGTTGATGTTAAAAAGACAGATATTAATCCTTCTTGATATTTTTTTTAAGAAAAAGAAATTTGAGATTCTAGATAATTGAAAAAGTTTGCAATTAAATTTATAATTGGATATTTCAGGACAGTCTTTATATTTTATATTTGACATATTGAAACGGGAGAAAGAACGTCGTTGACATTTTTATGATTGATATTTTTGATTGGTCGCAAAGGAGGGAAGGAATTCACTTAACGAGAATTTCACCGACTTTAAATTACGAATCTACCAGGTATGCGAGGCTTAAAGTCGAGTGGCCGATAAAAGAAAGAAAATGCGCCGTGATTGAAGAGGTCCGGGTAAGATTCCCGGGGCCCCGCGCGACGTCTGATTATCGTATTAGGTGGGCCGAGGGTCCGCGCATTTAAAGTCTTGGAACGAGAGAGAGAAAGATAAACAGAGAGAAAGAGAGAGAGAGACTGGATTCTTTAATATTGCCGTTCGCAAACGAGACATCCTAATTCTCTAGCCACAATTTCCTGCCCCGTAATTTCCGACGACGAACGGGTGGGGGACGGGGGGCGAAATACCGAGGCAGTGGGAGTAAAAAAAATTCGTGACTTTTTAGAGAATTCTTTTACGGCGATTGTGAGACCAACAGGGCGGTATCACAAAACGCGCGAAATATAATAATCATTCTATATAAACAATCGATCTCTTTTTGATCGATGATATTCGTGGGATTTTATCTGTATAAATTTTAAATCACTCTCGCATTTTTATTGCATTAAAAAAAAATTAAATTGCAATGTTACGTGGCTTATGCATTTATGTACATAATATTTCGTCCTTTGTGATAAAAAGGAAATTTTAAGATATACAATTTTATAATCATGTGCAACTACATCGCGATATAAATATGATAAATACAAATAAAACCAAAATCTCAAGAAAAAATCTTCGAGGAAATGTTCGAATGTATAGTTTTATCACGGTTGCAGCCCTGGTCGCGAGACACGGGGGGGGGGAGGAAGGGGGAAGGAGAGAACATTATAAACGATGGTGCCGATGGATTTACCGGGAAACAGCTGGCTAAAAGCGACGAGGGGCTCGCTGCACTTGATGTTCGCCGTGAAGGTGGACGTGTTCTCCGGCGGGCAGACCCTCAGCATCATCTTCAGGGGCAGCTGAACCGTCTTTTGAAGTACACGCAGGCTCCCACGATCCGCCGTCTCGTAGCTCGCCGTGATTCTCACGTCTGACGACAACGCCGGCAGATCCGCGCTCGCGTAGATCATCGTGCGCAGAATGTGCCGGTCACCTTCGCATTCGCGTATTCGGTTAATTGGCCGAGAATTAGCAGCGGTTGCATCGACATTCCAGCAATTCTATCGTTTCGATAAAAAATAAATAAAGAAGCGAAGAGAAATACGAAACGCACATATAATATATAATAAATTAATATAAAAGATATAGGATTTATTATATAAATTATTTTTTTTAATATTATATTATATACATTGCTCAATTTCTCTTTTTCTTTTTACGTTTTCAATGATGATGATTTTTTTAACTTTGTTCTGGAATGTCCATTTTCTTTATTTAGACTTGGCGCGTCGTAAATATATAAATTTATGTGACTCGCTTACAAAGATTGGTAATAACGTGGCAATCTTTCTCGGCAACGAACGGTTTCGAAACATCCACGCACACCTGAACGTCGCGTAATGTCGTGTACGTGGATAATTCTATAGTAATTCTGCACATTAAATTACGACTCTCTGTGTCGTCCTTAGAGTCTTCTCGGTTTCCGCGCGAACAGGGTTCCAGATCCGGAGACACGGTCACAGATATTATCAGCTCGGCGTCCATGGTGACGTTGGTCAGTTGATTGCCTTATAATTTCAATTATAAGATAATTAACGTTTAATAAAAGTTTAATTATATAAAATTTAATTATACGAAACGCGACGATTTGGAGACTTCGGAGAAATTTAATTATAGATTATTATTCCTTATATGCGTCATCATTGATGATGACACATATTATAGGTATATTGATTCACGTTTATCCATACCGGAAGTCTTATTTTTTTTTGCCAATTTGCGGAGCTCCATGAGTTCATCTTCGGCGGCCACGTAATCGTAACCGCGTCGATGAAGAGGAGGCGCGATAAATAATGACGGCTCCGAGCCCAAGTAGCAAGCCTCCAGCTGGCCCTCTTCGGAGAGAACGACAATCACTCCGTCTAAGTGCTAAAAAGAGAGATAACAAACTTTGGATTGCAGTCGCACATCTCCGCAAAGGAAGAAATCAACCTCAAATTAGTCAAAGAAACTGTGGATAAAAAAGAACTGCGAGAAACCTGAAATAGCCTCTGTATAATATCATAGTTATTATCTTGCAGAATCGCGGAAGAAACTAAAGAGAGCTAAATTAAAGACTTGTCCGTACAAAAAATCGTCTGACTTTTGAAATTAAAAATTACAATGATCTCTGAGTTACAGCTATGCATTTTGATCAAAACTAACTGTAAGATCTATCTATTTCAATTTTAAAGAATTCAGCTAGATTATTTACAGGATTTTAATTAGAATGTTTATAGCAAATTCTTTTCATATATCGATAAGCCGAAAGGCTGTTGACGAATCTTTTTGCTTTTGCAAGATAAGATAAAATTAATAATTTGTCGTTATTTTCCGTGGCTGATTTAGACATTTTCTAAGCCTGCGTTGATCGTATACACGCGAAACAACTCTAGCTGTCACGACGACAGCTTGCTGATTAACGAAGCGGAGTTCTCGGTATTAAGCTAATTAGCCAGCAATTCGCGTGCTCTGTGTCCTCCGGAAAGACAACAATGGCAACCTTGCTGGGCGCGCGCTAGCTCTGCATGGCAGGACGATAAGATAAAACCAGGGTGATAATTGCCAGCTCCTCGTCCTTTCCTGCACTCTTGCGATCTTTTTTCTCTTTCCCGGTCGGCCTTTCATTGCCGATGCTTCGAGCCTTGAGCGTTTCTCTTGATCCTCATCTCCACGTGCATTCCTCCCCCTTATCTTTACTCATTTTTCTCTTTTCTGTCTCTCGGTTTCGAATATTTCTAAAAATGAATGAGCAAAAAGAACAGTTTGTAAGATAATTAGACACAATATAAACGACTTGATTATCTCATCTTACATGAGCAATTTATGTTCAACAAATAAAAATTGACAATACGGGCGCAAATAGCACCTATTAAATCTGTATTAAAAATATAGATCGATATCTCTTATAAAATTCTAGCGAGAAATTCATATTTCTATATTAAAAATTCCATCGAGATACATTCTTTTTTTATGATAGATAAAATAAAATTTTTATACGATTTTTCGTCGTAAAATTAGAGGATCGAAGATAACCCCTTTTCTTTAAAACACGGTATACACACTATATCGAAGAAGCTTTCGGTTTCTGATAGCAAGGACGCGATAGATCCGAGTCTGTCACAACGTTGCCGGAGAAACGACGACTGGCGGTGTCGATAGTGCGACACGGAAGAGGAACACCGATATGGCGAAGGTCCCGCTCGTTCCTTTGTCAAATGTCATCGGCTCTGATTGCGGACTATCGTGACGAACGTAGATACGCGCACCATTGAGAGATTTCCTTTCTCTTTCTCTTTTTAAAGAGCAGTTCTCCCATGCATTTTTCTCTCTTACTATACTTTACGACATCGTTATCGGGATAAGACAACCTCTCGTCCGTCGATAATTTTTTTTTTTTATCCCCGTCTATTCTCATCTCGGCGAAGATTGATAGCCGCCTTCGTCAGATATAACATTTCAGTCATCGTTAGATTTCTGTTTCGTTATTCTTACCAGGGACGAGGTGGTAAAATAAAATATATAAGACTCGCACGATGGGTTATCAATGTGAACTTAACTCTGAGGCTTTCTTTCTCTGAAAAAATATGTTGACTCTACGCGTTGCAAAAAAGTTGATATGTCTTATCTGTATGTCTTTTTCATATTGTGGCAGATTGTAGTACGAAAATCGTAGTACAAATTGTTGTATGTTTAAAATATATATTGTATATTTTATATTATATCTACATATATTTATGTTATATTTTTTTTCTTTTAAATTTTATACATTGAAAAAATATACAAAAAGCTTGGGATATGTATTCAATGTACCGCTAATTAGTAACTATAATATCAGATATTATTTTTCACATAATACATACAACTTGCCATTTCAAAAAAGACAAAAATTAAGGAAAAGCGTTAAGCTTTTTTCTCGATGACAAGTTATGACAGATTCTACGCGATATAATAATACCGCGAAACACGCCGTGTCGAGTGATAGTACGAGAGTTACAGAATTATGCAATCGCTTACCTGAAAATGCGCTCGAGTTACGGCGACCGGAGTAAGAGGCAGCTGAGCCGACCACTTAAGAGTTGTACCCTCGTAAATCATCAGGGTGCTCGTGTCAGCGATTACGAGCACCATCAGCTTGCCATCCGGTTCTGTAAGCATCACGCTCAATTAGCACACTTATTTTCTATCCGTTAAAAGTAATTAGACGTGTCGCATCGTGCATCAGCCGCACAAGCACGATTCTCTGTTCAACTTGTTTGCTTCTCCTCTCTTTTTTTCGCGACAAAAAAGTATCTAGAAAAAATTAAATTACCGAAGCAACGATAACAAGATGAATTGATTTGTCTTTTTTTTCTCTATTTCTTTTTCTTTTGATAAATTTTCAAAATTAATGCTGTCAATTATATATACCTATCACATAGGCTTGAAAACAGAGAGCCTTGTACTCGAGTCTCTTCGCGTACTTCAGAGAAACGCAATTGTCCTTTAAACAGTAGAGATTCTTTTCACCGAGCACGAGGATTCCGACCTCGAAACTACTCAAGGTAACGGCGTTGATATCAAGAACGGCTTCCCCGATATTGTAACTCCAGTCCGGCTCCAGATTCTTTGGCCCTTCCGAACGATCCTTGCTTCCGAATTCCGCCATACTCTTATATCTGCAAAACGACAAATATATATATCTGTGAAATTTTATTTTATTAACATTAAATTCCCGTAACGTGATATAAATAATTCACACGCACGTCAGAGATTTCAAAAATATGAGAAAATACATTTGCAAATTTTTCTGGATATGTTTCAAGAGAGATATTTTGCTTATCTCTCTCTTTTTCTTCAATTTTATTATTATTATATAGCTATTTTTTGCAGTATTATTATTCACATTAATTTAATTGTTATAATGTACACAAACGCGTTAAAGCAGAATTTTTTCAAATAATTAGAAATTATTTTTAAAAACATGGTAATTATATTCCTTTTTATACATTCGAGCTTTTAAGCGATCTTCAAATCTTTGGCTAATTAGGAATTTTTCTCTCATCACACTGCTGTAAGACTGTAATGTTTGTGCCATATATCTTTTCATTCGTCCTCTTGACTCACACAATCCCGAAAGACGAGGCTGCAATCTGATACATCGCGGCCACGTTATCTCTATATACACCGGCAGGTGTTCATTGACAGGTTACTGGGAAAAACGGGTACACGGGTGGAACAACCTGCCTGTAGCATTCGAGGCTCCACGAGGAGCTCGACGTCACGAAGACGTCGTTCCGCGAAATGTAGACAATCGGCTCCGGCAGCAGCCGATTCCCAAGAACCAGGCTAAAGGTGGGAGTTTCCTGCTCATAAAAGAGAAGCGTGCTGTCCAGGCACTGGACACAGAGGAAGTCCCGGCCCCGCACGCCACCGAACGGGCCCGTCGTCAAAGACGCCGGAAATCTCGGCAGTAAATGCTCGTAAACGGCTTCCAGATCGCAACGATTCCCTATAAAAAAAAAGGAGGACGCGTAACAATAATAAATAAATTAATAATATCTGGACAATTTAAATTGAAATTTAAATCTAAAATTTTAATCGTAAAACGCGATTTAAAAAGATTTATAAATCTTCCTTTCTCTCTCTTTCTCTCTTATAAATTGGTACGTTTATTCTACTCTTTCGCGATTTATTATAATTATACTAAAAATAGTGATTGAATAAATTATCGGGTTTCTTTGGAATTTCAGGTTGTTTCTTAGATTGTAATCTCATATGGACGATGTGAAACGGTTTCTCTTATATCATTTTATTTATTAAGACGAAATTCTGTATCGATTGTTCGAGAGTGAAGTGATAGTATGTCTTGTCTTACTTTTCAAAAATGATTCGACCCATTGATGATGTATTTATAATATATCACGCAGCGCATATTTTATAAAGATTTTAACAAGTTATGATAAACATTGATTATATGATTTATCCGATATTTTCTTTTATTCCATCTATGTCCGATTCGATCAATGTAGAGATTTTGATAAATTTTTTTAACGTAGAAATTTTATTTGTCCTAATACACTGTAACAATCTCTTTATATTTATTAGGGATTCTTTTATTAGTCTCGCTATTGTCAAACAATGAAATATCGAAAGAATCTATTTATTTTTTTATTGCATAGTTTATTAATGTATTCGAAAAGAAACACATCTCTCGGATTTCTTTAATCGCAACGACGAGAATTGCTGCGCTTTTTAATTCGACATTAAATCAGGTCGACATTATGTACGTCCATAGACACATACGTTGCAGTTAATCGAGGAAATAAATACGCGAGATTGATGTGCGAGCTCGGGCAGCGTTAGACAAGCGGCTCGAACCGGCGAACAATCGTGATTCCTGTCTGTATATAGGTCAAGCCGCAATTCATCGTGGCCGCGTTTAAGCGTCCAGACGAGAGTGATCGGTGATTTGCGTATTAAATATATCATGACGTCAATGTTATAATGAGCGAGCGAGAAAAAAGGTAAGAGCGGGATAAATACGGTTTCTTGATTCGAATAGCGTGTACAGAGAAAAAAAGAGAGGAAAGAAAATTAAAGGAAAATTAAAAATAAAAAGGAATAATTATTGCTGAATATTATTCTTATATAACTTATTAGTGTATTATATAAAAATTATTTATTCTTATTGTATTAAAATTAGAATTGCGGATTTTTTTTCTTTGAAATTTCTATATGAAAAGAGAAAATATGAGAAAAAAAATTAAAGATATTGAAAACTTTTGGCAGAGGATTTTTATTTTTAATAAAATGAACAAGAAATTACGTATCGCTTAATGATTTTTGTTTTTTACAAGAATGAGAAGGATATTGTACAATAAGAGAAGTCTCGGTGGCGCCTACATGGTGTCGCAGGAAGTAGGCGTTGACGTTGCTGTTTTCAACGCGATCTCGCGAAAGAAGTCAATCACAGACGGCCGCCAATTTACGTGCACGCGAATACAACTCGCGCGCAATTTGCGCTCTCCCCGCGAGCGTGCAATCGGAACGGAACGGGAATCGGCGCGGACGGTTTTTTTTCATCACGAGGAAGATAATCGAGGCTCTCTCGCTTTCCGCTCCACGCCCGTCCAGGGCGAGGAGGAATCGCGCGCACCAAAGAGATATATACACGCACCACGACGACGTAACGGCGCTCGCGAGTTATTACGAAACGCTCGACGGTCGTGCGTTGTTGTTGCTTGCGTCGAATATCGGCTGGATTTAACGAGATATTAGCTCGAGGCGCCTCTCGATCCCGGATCATAACGCGAGAACAGTCTTAAACACGAACGATCAAACCGATCATTGGGATCGGTAAATACTTTATCATCTTAAGTAAAAAATTGAATTTAATAAAAAATCGTGTGTATTTATACATATAATTTTATTTTATTTTAATTATATAATATCAGCGATGGAAATTGTGAAAGACGAGATTTCTCACAAAAAAAAAACGTCGAATTCATAAGATGCTTGCGGAGAGAATATGCAAAATTATTACAGTATAAAATATGATTAGGTATCTTTTTATGAGATGTAGTATAAAGATTATTTTTTAGGCCGTAGCATTATTATATATTTTTTAATATACACAATAGTGTTATATATTATAGACACGATTTGTTTAAGCTCCTAATGATCAACACTATATCACGATTTATATTCCCCTGCGGTTATATACATAATTTCCCGCATCGCTTGTAGAACTGCATAAATCATTACTATTAATCGGTAAACATTTCTCATGGCGTTTTAAGATGTTTGAATCTTTTAATTGATCTCTTAGAGACATTTTGACTTCAAATCGCGCAAGGAATACGTCTAATCGAGCGGATTGTAGACAATTAAAAAAGTTTTCCCAGTGTTATTACGTAAATAATCGTGAGATATAAGGAAAAGAGAAAAAGAGACGTGTTGCGACGACGTGTAATAGAGTTTTCAATCGATTCACGATCGTAATGAGCGAGACTGCGCGACGCGTTTCTCCGTTCTTTGATATGCGATATCGCGCGACCAAACGATCGGCATAAATACGTAAGAACCGTATTTATACTTCACATTTAGCATTAAATACGATCGTCTGATCATCAGCATCATTTGCTGTATATGAAGATCATACTTATTATAATCAATGAGGAATCAGACGGTTACATATATGGGATGTGAATATGGATTAGAAAGATCGATCGATCGATCGATGTAGCATAAAAATTCTAATTGTAGTTAAAAATCCGATAATTATATAATTCCAGCAGCAAGATAAAATAATCGGATGCTTAAATGAGATGAGTTTCATTGTATTAATTGTCGCTCATTTGGGATAAAATATCTTAAAATTTCCAAATGTAAGATTAATCTTTTATCTTTGGGACAGACAATCTTTACAGAATATTGAATAAGCTACCATGAAACTCGTAATATAATTTTAATATTACATAACATATCGACACGATGATCGATATTACGATCGGTGTAAAAAAAGCATTCTTTTTACGATCATTCTACAAATTTTAAAGCATCAATGGCAGCCTCAATGATTGTTTCAATTCTTATACCATCGTTGTATATACGTAACACGTTGTTGAAAAAAAATCCGATATGATATCGCGAAGTGATATCAGTTTTATGACTTGTGTGACGACACACATCGTCGGACGAAAATCGTTCTGTCGTAATAGGCATCGATGCATCGCGAGATATTGCCGTAGCGATGTTCCCATCTATATCATATTCGCTGTCGAAGAATTATTCGCGTGCGCGAATAATTTAGCGCTCTCGTGATGCGTAACGTTGCGCGGCTCGTTAGCGGCGCAGCGCTCGCGGACATTTTATCTATGTTGCCAGGACCGGCTCTCGGAAGATTTGCCTCAGGTCCTGAGTTCTTCAAAAGATCCAGCAAAAAGTAATCTTACATATTCTCTCCTCAAACAAGTTATCTTAAATCTAAAATTTATAATAATACGATAATAATAATATAATAACGAGATAATGTGTGGTTTTATAAAAATAATAAGGACAACAGTGATAATATATAATATATAAATGGAATCAATATAATATTTAATAACAATTGCGATAATAACAGCAATAATAGTAATAATGATAATATTAATAATAAAAACAAAGATATTAAGGTAATTGCAAAATATATCATGAAGTGGAAAGATGTGTAATGATTCACGTATGTCTGTATCTTATCTATCTATGCAGATTTTGATAAGTTCTTACTGACAATTTTTTTTAAATTTCTTTTGATAAGTTCTTACCGATAAATTATTTTTATTGTTATATCAGGCATCGTGAGAATTCCAGTTTCTTCTCGAAGGCTTCACGATAATTTGATCTTATTAGTGCCTGCCTATCTCTTTCAAAGATTGCCTTATCGCAAATTCTTATTCAAATTAAGATCGATAAAAGAACGGTTTGTTTATTAAGTACACCCTATCATTTATTAAATTGAATAAAAAGATCTTTGAAATTAGTCAAAAAGAGATTTAAAAAAGTTAGCAGATTGTAAAAAAATGGATCTGTCAAGATGCTTTTTAATTGGTTGCTTTAGAGCTTTTAATATGATACCATGTTACGTTACAAACCATGTTCGACGGAGCCCTCGTTCAAAACAATGCTGTAAATGATGAGTTTTATTGATGTCAATATCGCGAGTCGGGTATCTTGCGAGCCTCTGAAACAGATCGGTATCGATGAAAATATAGAATTTAAACAAAGAAATTTAATCGCAAGGTGCATTAGCTAAAAATAAAGATATCAGTATTATGTGCTATATCTAAATAGACACACAATATAATCAACAAAAAATATTTATAGATATAAATATAAATATAAATGTATAGAATAAATATTCAGCTATTTCAGTATTTGATTCCCTATTGAAAATAACGTTGGGAATACAAGACGGCTAAGATAAATCATAAACCAAAGTATAGAAATTTTGCACTTTATCTTATTTATATGATTTAAAACTTCAAATAATAATCTGAAATTTTTATATATAGAAAACATTACAAATAAGTAAATTTTTTCATATTTCTATTTTTATGTATTTACATGTATATAATTTACTGTTGGTTTTATTCGCAGTTATAAAAGATTAAATCGCGTATTTTTTGTGTTGAACTATATATATATGATATATATTAAATAATAATTATCTCTCTCTCTCTCTTTTGAATATATTAGATGAATCTTTGAAGAGCTCTACGATAATTTTTTATTTATTTATTTTTATATTTCTTAACTATTTACCCATTTTGATTTTTATTTGATATAATTTTTTGACAAAGTTTGAATAGTTTTTCTTTGTATTAATTGATTTTAATCTCTTGAAATTATTTCTCTGATTTTCACCAATCTTTGTTACGAAAGGCTATGCATTTCGGAATTAAAAACGCGCAGTTTGTCACGACACCGATAATCCTTTCACTTCGCAAACATCACGTCCTTACTTACGAGACGAATTTTCCCGCCTTCGTGTCGACGATACAATCGCCGATTTGCGTCTCGATGATCAGATCCGTGGACTTGTAGCCGCTCGGCATTTTTGTCTCGTCTATCCATTGCGACGACGAGCTATATATCCGCAGGCATCCACTGTGGCTGCCGACGACGACGATGTCTTTCCGGTCGGCGCCGAATAACGGCGCGACCAGGAGGCTGCGCCTGTCGAAGGACTCGTCTACTCCGCACTGCGTTCTCCACCATTCTTTCGTCTTAAACAACGACATTTTTCGGGCCAAATTCAAGAATTCGGCATCGCGACACACGATGGAGGATGCATTTATTTACAACTACTGCCGGGACTTTGTCTTACGCCGGGTTTATGGCGGGTTGCTATGACACCGCGCTGCCACAACATATAGTCGTCGATTATAGGCGGTGCTTATCGAAGCTAAAGCTAATTAAAGATGCATAACGAAATCGCGGTGTAATTCCGCATTATTGCATTAAGTATCGAAGATAGGTATGCATTTTTCGAGGAAACGTTTGCGTATTGCGCATCTTGCATCAGCGACGAAATTGCTGCACAGGCGCACGATGCTTCGTAGAAAAACTTGCGGATGTTTTAAAGGATTACTAATTTCTTAATAATATATTGTGCTATAATTTATCAAAATTTAAACTACTTTTGGTCTAGAATTTTTAATAGCTTTAAATATAGAGAACTTTAAGTTTATTTTTTTTTGTGTTGCAGATATAGTATAGTTAATTGTCAATAAATTGATATATATGTTTGCATAGACATTGTTACAACTAATTTTTTAAGAAGAAAAAAGGTTTTAAAATTAATTTAAAAACATAAATTTCATTTTTTTAAATGTTGTTTAATATCGTAATTTTATTATATATATATATATACACATATATTATAATATACATATAATAACAAATTGTTTAATATAATGCAGATTTGCATTTTCATATATGACCGCATTTTTTACGTCGCGTAAATTAGTGTGTGATTTCATCAGCAGATGGCAGTACATAATAATCGATGTACAAATTAACAGCAGTTGGAATGACAGATCTCTCCACTTGTTATTCTAGAAATTCGTAATAAATAGCTCGCGGGAATTATATGATCCGGATAATTTATTTTTTCTATACGAACGATATTACACATATTAGACTATGTATTTATATATAACACTGTAAAATTGAATTATTTTTCGTTTTTAGCGCAATTTTTGATGTATAAATAAATTACCAAATATAAATAAAATTGTATTCAATAAATATATTAATAAAACGGTCTATTTTGCAACTTTCTGATATAATCACAATAAATGTTGAATATATCAGTAGCTTGTAATCGCGAAGTAATACATTTTTCGATTGCCTTTTTTCGTCTTGTTAGGTTCTTGAGGAATCATGTGTAAATATAAGATACGGATTGATTCTTACACCTAAAGAATATATCATAATAATATGAACAATAATCTTTATTAGCATCTATGTGTTATTACAAGTTTTATTAATCATTGTAAAACATAAGACAGGAATTTTATATATTTCAAGAAAAGAACTATATTTCTTTTTCAAGCTAAAACTTGTGATATATCGAGAAAGATTTGCCAGTTTTCTTTTAAACAAGTAGAAGTGCTTTGTTTATCGCAGAAATTTAGAAAGTCTTATATTTCTGAATATTCTTGCAGCAATGTAGTCAATATATTCTATGATTTCGAGATCTTCTTTTTCTGTCACAGTTGGAGTCGTTTCCTCTATTGTATTCTTATCTTTTCTGTAAAAAAAAAAATAAAAATGTAAGATAACAATAACATGAGTGCGCATGAATGAGATCTTTCTTAAATCTTACATTTTGTGCCACAACAATTCTAGTGTAAACACGATTAGGCTGCACTCCGTACTCCGTAACCCATTGCAACTATCACAAAGTAGCATTCTGTCAAACCGATATTGATAAAGCTGATTCGAGCATACTGGCTTATCTGTGAAAAAAACAATGTTTCTCGCGTTGTTTGAGTTCGTATTCTCATAGCTTCAAAGCTCTGAAAAAAAAATATTGAGCATACTGTATATATATCGCGAATTATTCTAGTACAATTTCAATAATTTTCAGAATATTTATATCAATTAATATTTCACAATTAAAACACATACATATACTGTTATGACGTCTTGCCCACGCTACGCCTTCGTTTTGTCACTCACAGTTTCGAGTTCGCACATTGTACATTTTCCGCCAGCATACGGTCATTCCAGCCGTATGTTGGAAATGAGCCCTTTCTTTTCCATCGGTTTTCTTCGGTCATAAAACCCGAGGCTCTCACTCGTTGGGTATGTGTTATCGCACGGACTCAGCGTTCGTCGCCATGGCGGTTTATTGTCTTTCACATATGACGTCTAGAAGGGCCCACTCGGAACGACAAGGAGACTCGCCAGCGCCCCGAGAGTTTTCACGCCAGTTTTCTCACTAGCATGATACCCGACTCGCGACGCGGACGCATCCTTTTCCCTCGTCTCTGCTCCGAGCACAACGGTAAGCTTCTTTCTCAATAAACGGTTGTTTTTATCAAAATATACACAGTGTTTTAACTTATATGTCGATTTTTGTGCGTCCCCACAATATATACGCATATATGCTTTTGACATAACATTTTGATGTCACATCTTAATTTATGTAAATTTTTAATTATTATTATTATTTTGGAACGCGATATATAAATCAAGACATAGTTTTTTATCCATTTTTTATTATCTTTAAATATGGCGATTGTTTTGGTAGCGAGAGATGCGGTTGTATCACGTTTATGTAATCAGTTAAAGCGCATTTTTCTTCTTCCTGAGATGTTTCTTGCATGATTTCGTATATCTTACTTTGTACACTGTGAAATGTGAAACGTTCATTTCTCATTTGACTTGCATCTTTTTCATTGGACATTCAATTAGACTTGTATTCTTTCGGCTCGATTTTCTCTTCTAGGATCGCTTTGCTAAGCGGATCTCGAAAAGTCTATACATAGAAAATAATTTTTTCTTTTGTAACATCTCTTGTCTGATGGCGACAATTGACTCTTGTCAGTTATCTTAGAATCTATTATAAACGAATGAATTATTGGCACAATTGACAGGAAGCATGACTCACGTTGCATTTATCCGATTTATTAAATGGAGTCGCCAGGGATAATACTACATATATACTTTCTAGAATAACAATTATTTTACACTGTATTTTAGTGCACATTAAAAAAGCGACTCATGAGATCCGCTGTTGCTGCAAAAATATGGAAGCATTTAACGAAAAATAAAATTTTTGATCAAGTTTCTCATAAAATCACATTTCAATTTAGTGTACAATAACAAAAATTCAGTAAATATTTGGTTTAATAAGTTTTTTTTTACGAATATACATTTCTGCTGGTATTTAAATAGAGCAATCTATGATATTTGTATCCGACATTTCTTCTCTTGCACGTGCGTTTTGCCTATAAAGAAAGTGTAACAATGACATATATGAAGACTCATATTAAGAAAATTTCTATTATATTTTACTTTTTATGCCATAATAACTCAAGCGCAAATATGATTACGGTGAGAAGAATTCCGTAGCCCATTATGACCAAAGCGAAGTAACATTCCGTGATACCGATAGTGATGAAGCTAGTGTGACTCGAGCACATCGGCTTTCTCATATATAAACGATGCTCCTCGCGATATTTGAGCCCGTATTCCTCTAATTTTAGAGCTCTGCAAGCACCTTTTCTGAATATCGAATCATGTAAGATCATGTATATTACGTTAAAATTTTAGTTTTTAAGAACTTTTTATGCCAAATAATTTAAATTTGAATGAACTTTTATTTGCATAACGATAATTCGAGGTATTTTACCCATTTTTTATTATTTCTAAATATGGCGACTGTATTTGTATAACGAGAAGCGGATATACGACTTTTAAGAAATCGATTTCAGTCAGACCGCACTTCTCCTCCTCCTGATATGTATCTTCCATTAATTGGTAGATCGAACCAAACTCGCCATGGAATGCGAAAAGTTCGTCTTTTATTCGACTTACACCTTCTTCAATGGACATCCAGTTGGATTTACGTCCCTTTGGTTCGATTCGCTGTTCCACAATCGCTTTTCTAACTGGATCTTGAAATGACTGCCATTTCATAAAATACTCTTTTATTTTTCGCAATTATTTCTTGTTGTTAATATAATATCGATAACGTAATAATCCTTAGAATATTTAATAATAATAATCCAATTTGCATTATTAATTACCGCAGTTTCAATCTACGAACCTTGAAATAATATCGGTTATACACGACATCCATCGCACCCAGCTTTAACGGGCTGTTGAAAAGATCCGAAAGAGTTTTGATAGAATCCGTAGTAGATTGCAGCAGGCCTACAATATTCGCTGTGTAAGCCGCGTAAAGACTGAGCGAAGCCAATAGTAACATAAAAGTGACGATTCGAGGCGTCACTCTATACGGTTCATACGCATATCCTGTAAAAGTACAAATTTATAAATTTTATGTTGAACAAAATGAAAAAATTTAATTTGTATGTTCGCGAAGTAGTAAACGTTTTCATCAAAATGCTTGAGTAATGAAATTTAATCTATTTTATCAGAAATCTATTTTAACAATTTTTTATTATTTTCCAATAATATTCGGAGATCAAAGTCAATGATTATATTGTCGATAATTAATGTTCTACCTTGTTGGGCAAATGCGCCTAAAATAATAAGTAAATTATCGCTGACTGTTAGCTTGTTGGGATTTAGCTGCTTCCAGTAATCTGCTGATTTTGCATTTCTATTTCGATTATATTCCAATTTGATGGACAAGTAGAGCAAACCGAGAACCACAATAATAAGCACGGCGATGGCTATCCAGACGTTACGTTGAAAAGGTAGAGTGAATATATTGCTCACGGTCGATAATAATGGTCGTCGAAATATAAAACGTGAGCTATATAATATAATATAAATATTGATGTAAAACGTATATAATTTATAGTAGTTTATATATAACTGATTTTTTTTACTTCGCATAAATTTCGATTTATCAAAGTAAAAGTGAAAGATTATATGATTTCTCGTCTTTCCTTCTAGTTCTGTTCTTAGAGAGAGATAGAAAATCGATGAAATCATATTTAAGTTTAATAAATGGTGTTTGCCTATTTTACCCGGTCTGTGTGTACAATTGAATATATTGCACAACACCGAGACGTTCTGACACAAGAAATGTAGCGGTGCCACCGATATCGATCTCGCGTCGCTCCAGCATCCCGATCATTCCGCTCCAAGATCCATTCTCTGTACGATATCCCCAACTATCGGTAATTTCGAAACTTATCCTGTAACGCATAAAACAAAACTATGAAGAATTTCGAGTCGGCGATATATCTTAAAGGATTTCATATATATATATAGTGTATAGTAAATTTCAAACTCGTGATTCGTTACATCGTATTTCGCGAAGATGATTATCTTAGCAATAGAAAACTGTTGTTTAATTTAAAAAATTTGGAATTCTTTGTACTTTTTTGAAAAATTATTATTAGATTTGTGTAAAAGAAAATATTTAATATATAGGATAAATATTCGGAAAAAAGCTACATGATAAAAGTTTATTTTTTCATTGAATGTTTTAAATGTGTATTTTATATAGATATATTGACAAGAGCAAAGATTTAGATTTAGATTCTTAAGCAGTCGATTAGATATAATGATTAGATATAATATGACATGATGATTATGCAGTTTTTGCGGGTTGTGTGGACGTTATGATGACAAATATGTCATGCACACTTTTTTAGTTATGCGACCGGTTTTATTTATACTGTCTATTGTTTATTATTACTTGAAAATGATTTACAATCTTTTTTGATGTATGTATACTATAATTGCTTAATCACTTCATTGTGACCTCGTTAATTAACTTTGAAATCGGATTACGACTTTATTACGTTGTTCTGAACCTTGAATTCATAATTTAGGAGTCCGCGAGAATATTCGTCGATTGTTGCCATTGACTTTTTAGTTGACATTTTAACATAAACAAGTCATTAAAATATTTTGGCATTTTTGCGATAATGTCGAGATTGAACTCACGTTGCATTCATCCGATTCGCTAAATGAAGCATCCATGGATATCCAGCTTTTGTGACAGGATCTATTAATTTATCTTCGAAGTCAGTTAGATGATTGATTGTATTGGGATCAGTCATCTGTAATCGCAATAAATTTTGGAAAAATACATTTTTCTGTTCAAAAAAATTTTAGTAAAATGTCTTTGACATTTTACTTGAAGTATTTAATTTATACAAAAGCGTCTTGCATAGCAGATGAATACAATAGTATTTATAAAGTACCACGAGAGCAGATTTAAGAGCCGTCTGTTGAAGATTTCTTCTACGTGCCGAAGCCACATCGAAAGTTTTCATTCGTAGACCATTTTCGACCGTCCAATTCCCGCGATTTTCCCATATCACTCCTCGCTGCGGACTCGGCCGATATACGGATGTTAGTTGGAGAAAATCACCGTCGAATCTTTTTGCTAGGATCACATCGCTATCAGGATAGACGGCTAAGTTTTCGAAAATCTCCAAAATCGAATCATCATATGTAAAAGTTATATTGGCATTATCATCGTTATCGATTAGCGTCCTTCGATCTTGAAGGAGGAGCCATCTCATCGGGGCGACGAACATTCTATTCAAATTCACCTATCGCCAGATAACGATCATAATTAATTTGCTTATCGAGGAACAAGGCGAGAAAATTTTTTGCGGCTGCTAATACTAATGACTTTATTTTTAGTAACAATTTTGAGTAAGAATTGAATTTTAGTAATAATTGATTTTTAGTAATAATAATTTTCATTTGAGAGCTAATGACGATATGTTTGTGCTCGCGTCATATTCACGACAGATGTACGGAAAGAACTTAGTACCTGTCGTAGAATTTCAATTGCGTAATTGCAATCCATGTCCAAAACGTATAGATTTTGATGTTCCAAGTCATTGTAAATTCTCCGGTCAAACCTTGGGATGACATTATTACAGATGCTATGCGTCAAGTCAAGACTCGACAATTTTCTAGATAATCTAATCGTGTCATCTGAGAAAAGAGGGAAAATGAAAACCATTAAAATTCTTTGAATCTTTTAATATATGTTTTCTCGCTTAAAATGGAAAGAAATTATCGTGATCTCCTGAGTCTCATACAATGATATTTTATTTCAGTATAAACAAATATATACAATATAATTTATCATATTATAAACTGAGATCTTAACAAAATATTTTTTTATTCATTATTTATTATTATTTTTATTTATTCAGTTATCTTTTGTGTAAACACTACTTTCTAAGAATCTCGCTTGTCCGATACGTAAATGGTGAATTCGAAGATCTTGCCATAGCTGATGCACGAGTGTAGAGATATCCTCGACGGAGGGAATAAAATCGGCATCGTATCGATGATAAATTTTAGACTAACATCGTCGATTCGTTGAGAGAATGCAATCATGCCATTATCGAAAAACAATGCAAAGATACACAAGACAATGGGAAACATTCTGCGCTCTCTTGTATCCGTCAAACAACTGCGCAGAAATTTCTTCGGCATGATATTTGGGATCGATAATATTGATTATCTGTGCACTGTAATTTTTTCGCATGTGTATCATGATCTCGCCTGTAATGAAGCCGTTTATGGATCCGCGGAAGAATGTAATGAAAGGACAATTGACGCGCAATAAGCATTGCGTGTGTAATGCGAGCGTTATTATTACATATGAAATATTCAATCTTTATGATGGATGCTATGTCGACATGATATAATCTGCGAACAGATTACTCATTACGTATCGCGAAACGTGTAATTTTGACGTTTTGCAAGCTTTCGTAATTCTCTCAAATTTTTCTTAATAGTGCAATCATCGAGCACTGTCGAGACGTTAATAATAGTGCAAAGAATCTCGATGATGCAGGAAATCGGGAGTCTATGTTTTAGTATGTGAAAAACCACAGCTGGGTTTTATATAGTTTATTGCTGCACTTGAATCGTATAAATTGTGTGGCTTATACGTAACTGTGTATTTTATTTTTATTTGCAAATATGTTGGCAAAATTTTTACATATAATGTGTAAACAGTTGTTTTATTATTTATATTACTATATATCCAAGTAATTTTATTATAGCAAGAATGATTTGCACAATCTAAATATATTACCATATTCATTCTATTTATGACACTTGTGTTACTAACTTCTTTTTAGAGAGTAGCGAGATATTTGCATAAATACTTTATCGCCTTAAGCAGATTGTGTCTTGATGATGAATCTATAACATAATAATTAATGTTATATTATCCTTTAATTATTTATACACACGTGCTATAACAAACGAGTATCAAGCTATAAGAGGATAACAAACTTTTTTTGCACTGTGGATAATTTCCGCGTTAATCTTATTTGTAAAATAATACACATTATCAATGCAATTAGTACGAAATGTCAACAAACTAGAAATAGTTTCATCGGATATTATAGAAAAAAAAAAAAAAATTCCGATCATAAAATGAAAAAAGGATTTCGGTTTTTTGACTTAAAAAAGAAGGATTCATTTAAAGAAAAGAATTGTGTTTGCTTATTTCTACTGATAATTCGCGTGATGAGTCAATGATCGACACGTGAAACAAATTTCCTCTCATTTTCTTATCGGTGCTTACTCACGAAAGGGATGTTATCGTAATCGTCGGCAAATACCAGCGCGCATTTTGACATACTTTGCATGTGTTCAGAATTATGCGTCTCATCTCAAAAACTTAGTAAATTTTAGAAGCTGCTGGTTTTTTAGACGAGTATATGTATATTTCTGCAGATATTCAATCAAAATGTTCAGTATAAGCGAAGGTTTCTACATTTGACGTTTCTTCTAACGCCGCACGTGCTTTTTGTCTGTCAAAGAAAATTATAAAAGTAATATATGAGATACGCAACGATAAAGGTGTCATTATTTCTTACTTCTTGTGCCATAACAATTCGAGCACAAATATGATCACGGCGAAAAGCATTCCATAGCCCATTATGACCAAGGCAAAGGAGCATTCCATGAAACCGATAGTGATAAAACTAGTCTTACTCGAACATATCGGTTTTCTCGTATACAAGCGATATTCCGCACGATATTTGAGCCCGTATTCTTGTAATTTCAGAGCTCTGAAAATATCTTTTTTGAGTATCGAGTGTTTCAAGAATTATATTATCGCAAAGTTGCCGATTTGTACATACAATGTATTATTAAAAAGTACGCGTTAATAAAATTTTTTTTCGAATTTTTGTAATATTCTGTGTTAGATTCTAAATATTAAAATATTTTTACATCCGACGTAAAACTGACCTGCACGAATTATTATTTGTGCGAAAATAATTCGAGATACTTTACCCGTTTTTTATTATTTCTGAATAAGGCGATTGTATTTGTATCACGAGAAGCGGATCTGGGACTTTTAAGAAATTGATTTCAGTCAAGCCACATTTTTCCTCCTCCAGATATGTAGCTTCTATTAACTGATACAACGAACCGACTTCACTGTGGAATGCAAAGAGTTCGCTTTTTATTCGACTTACACCTTCTTCCATGGACATCCAGTTGGATTTGCGTCCCTTTGGTTCGATTTGCTGTTCCACAATCGCTTTTCTAACAGGATCTTGAAATGACTGTCATTTCACAAAATACTCACTTATTTTTTGCAATTATTTCTTGTTGTTAATACAATTCCGATAACGTAATAAGCCTTAGAATACTTAATAATAATAATAATATAGTTTGCATTATTAATCGTCGCGGTTTTGATCTACGAACCTTGAAGTAATATCGATTGTACACGATGTCTTGTGCACCCAGCTTTAACGGGCTGTTGAGAAGATCCGAAAGAGTTTTGATTGAGTCCGTAGTAGACTGCAGCAAGCCTACGATATTCGCTGTATAAGCTGCATATAGACTGAGCGAAGCCAATAGTAACATAAAAGTGACGATTCGAGGCGAAAGTCTATACGGTTCATACGCATATCCTATAAAAGTAAATAAAAAAAAATTTATATACTTTATGTGGAACAAAATGAAAAAATTTAATTCGTGTGTCCGCGAAATAATAAACGTTTTCATCAAAATGTTTGAGTAATGAAATTTAATTTATTGTATCAGAAATTTATCTTAACAATTTTTTATTATTTTCGAATAATATTCGGAGATCAAAGTCAATGATTATATTGTCGATAATTAATGTTCTACCTTGTTGGGCAAATGCGCCTAAAATAATAAGTAAATTATCGCTGACTGTCTGCTCGCTGGGATTTAGCTGCTTCCAGTAGTCTGCTGATTTTGTATTTGTATTTTGTTGATATTCCAATTTGATGGATAAGTAGAGCAAACAGAGAACTACAATAAGAAGCACGGCGATGGCTATCCAGACGTTTTGTTGAAAGGGCAAGATAAATATATTGCTCACGCTTGACAATAATGGTCGGCGAAATACAAATCTTGCCCTGCAATAAGGCAGATGCTTATTTAAAATATCCATAATTAATGGTAGTTAAAATGTATATTTGATTCTCTTTTTAATTTGGTTAAAATTATATCATTTTTCTTTCTTTTCATTGTTTTATTTTTAGACAAAAAAATGGAAAATGTGAATGGAATCGTATTCAAATTTAATAAATGTCTATCTTACTGAGTGTGTGTGTATAATTGGATATATTGTACGACACCGAGACGTCCTGGTACAAGAAATGAAGCGGTGCCGCCAATATCAATCTCGTGTCGATCCAGCATCCCGATCATTCCGCTCCAGGAACCATTTTCTGTACGATATCCCCAGCTATTTGTTGTTTCGAAACTTATTCTGTCGTATAAAATAAAAGCATAATATTTTGACTCACAGCAATTTTAAATCATTGCACATATATATATGTTTCTTTTTTTAAGTTTTGTAATCCATCATATCCGTGTCTCTCGTTTTCGCAAACAAAAACGACTAACAAAGACAAACTGTTTCTCAATCAAAATCAAGTCAAATAAAAAAATTTATGGAATATTATTAATACTAAACACACACACACATTTTAATAATATCGAAATGTTTTGATTTGGTACAGTAATGTCGAATACTGAACTCACGTTGCATTCATCCGATCCGCTAATTGAACTACAGATGGATATCCAGCCTTCGCAACAGCATCGATAGATTTATCCTTGAAATCAGTTAGATGATTGACCGTATTGGGATCCGTTATCTACAATCGTAATATATGGAAAAATATATTTTTATATTCAAAAACATTTGGAATATTTAAAATCAAGGTTACACATTCGTGGCATTGTTAAAATTACATTATGTAATTGACAGATGTTCATTGATATGTAAGTGTACGATAAACAAATATACAAAATAGCATGATTCAAAGTACCACAATAGCAGATTTAAGAGCCGTTTGTTGAAGATTTCTTCTGCGTGCCGAAGCCACGTCGAAAGTTTTCATTTGTAAACCATTCTCGATCGTCCAATTTCCACGATCTTCCCATATCACTTCTCGCTGCGGACTCGGCCGATATACGGATTTTAGTTGGAGAAAATCACCGTCGAATCTTCTTGCGAGAACTACGTCACTATCGGAATAGATGGCTAAGTTCTCGAAAATCTCCAAAATCGAATCATCATATATGGAAGTTAAATTGGCATTATCATCGTTATCGATTAGCGTTTTTCTATTTTGAAGGAGCAGCCACTTTGTCGGGGCGATAAATATTTTTTTCGAATGTGCCTGTCATTTAATTTGAAATATATATATATACTGATTGTTATAGTAACTAGGAGATTAGTATACAAATAATATTAAATAATGATAATTGTAATAATTCCGGTCAAAATTACATTTCTCGTATGCAGAAACAGCAAATAGATATTTTTTGTTGCATTCCAATATCAATATCAGTTTTAATTCAGTATGTTTATGATGTCGTAAATAAAATTGATTTTATTTTATTAAAATACTCAGAGATTTTTACGACATTTTGTTTAGAAACGCTTGTTACCTGTCTCAAAACATCACTGGCGTAATCGCAATCCAAATCCAGCACGTACAAATTTCGATGTTCTAAATTATTATAAATTCTTGGATTGAATTCTTCGTAGAAGTTACGAATGCTATGCGTCAAGTGATTCCTCGATAGTATTTTCGATAATTTAATCGTGTCATCTGTGAGAGACATTAGAGTTAATTAGAATTAAACATTAAATATTTTTATGCAATTTTTTCAGTAATAAATAGAGTGAAAATATATCATTGCATTACATATACAGAGTAAATCGCGTAACTTGACTATTTAAAATATTTTCGTTTCTTTCGATGACAAGGAAAATGTATAATGAAGAAGCTATTCTATCTGAATGAAAAATGCTATAATCAACGAAACTTTTTTCAAGATTATTTTTTTCGAAATTTAAAGATCCCCATTTTTGAATGAAACATTTTCATTAGCAGCAAATTGTAACCGATAAAAAAACAAAATTAACAATAACAATAATAATCGCTTTTAATTAATTATTGTTGAAAATTTCGAACGTTTTTTTTCGCGCTTGGTGATTGGCACATAAATCATGAATACAAAAGTCTTGCCGTATCCGATGCATAATTGTAGAGATAGCCTCGAAGGTGGGAATAAAACGGGCGTTGCATTGACGATAAATCTTACAATAACGTCGTCGACGCGAGATGACGCGATTACATCACGACCGAATGAAAAAGCGAGAGAGAACAGAACAACGAGGATCATCCCGATCGCTTTTGTCTCCTGTAAGCAACTGCAAAAATTTGTTGAGATTGTCGATAATATCGAGTATATATTCGTGTACCATATTTTTCGGACTATAATCTTTTAGTATTCATAATAGTTTCATATAATTCGCGTGTAACAATATGGCAAATCCTCAAAGGAATGGGGAGCATCAACGATAACGAGTATTATTACGACTTTTTAAATATTTAAATGTTCGATGGATGGCTCGTTTGACGTAATATAATTGGACATAATCTATCAGCGAATTATTCATATTTTCGGATATTTCTTAAGACACGATTTATAACTAGCTTTCCTCGTTCTCACAAATGCTTTTTCGTTCCTCCGAATACAGTATTCAAGACAATAGTGATAGTGTAAGGAATTGGCGTGAGGAATCTAGGAAGAATCGCAGCTGAGCGACCTACATTCCTTTTATTGTATTACGTTTATATTGCGGTTATGATTTTCGAAGGATTATTTTACGTGTCTTCTCTTATCACGCGAGAAAAATTTACATTCTTACGCTCATGTTTAGTACACTTGTCTAATTATTTTGTTGCACGCGATTCCGATATCAGACAAACTGCATTCGTTTTAAATTGAACATCACGGTGTTAATTAAAGAATTGCAAACAAAAAAGTTTTTGGTTTAGAGAGTATATATTCGTTTATTACTCTCGCGATTACTTAACTGCTTCTCATATCAGATAATCAAATTTCTAAATACACAGTTTTATTTAGCGCTAAATGCGATACTTGCTAAGGAATAAAAAATGAAAAGAAATGGTTTGTTATTAGGAAAATTACGCATATATTACCTCTCAACCAAATTCTAATGATGTTTTCTTCTATAGCATAGCTATTTTTACAAATATGCGTAATTATGATTGAATAAGTGATATCATTAATTTGTTTTTTTTTACAAACAGCGCAAGAATCGCTTTTTTTCTTTTCTTTTATTCCTCAAGTACGAGGATTTAGATTTCATGAGACAAATCTTCTCGTAAAATATGATATTTTAGTACAAATGTCTTTATTTAAGATTTGAAATTAAAGCGAATTATTCATAATAAATACATATAAAACGATAATAAAGTATTTTGTATTATGTATGTTCATAAAACATTGTTCCAAAGATGTTTAACATTAAAAGATGAAGAATATAGGAAATAAATGATACAATAAGAGAAAATAATTTTAATTATATCACTTTATAATTTTAATTGTTATATCACTATTAAAGATGTTTTTTATAAGATTTAAAGAACTTTATGTTATCAGCTGTGAATTAAATTTTCGCGCGCTTCTTGATGACGTCATTGAAACGATGCATGATTTTGTCAGCAGATGGCGATTCGATTCGTCAGCTGATCACAGCTGATGGCAGCTGGCAACTCGAGTGACAGATAAGTGACAGATTTTCGCGTGTTATTCGCTACTTGTGACACTTGTTAGTTAAAGCCATAGACATATATATATGTTTATGATTGAAGCATTGTTTGCTTATAGTAATTTGAACATTGAACACCAAACAATTGTATCCTACAAGGATATATCGAGATGGAACCGCAGGATATTTATTATAACAAAGCCGAATACGTTGAAACGGTAATTGATAATTATAATGATTAAAGTATATTACATTAGCGAAATACATTTATCGAGAATATTTAATATCGAAAAACGGAAATATTATAATTATTGTTAAAAATAACACTGACAAAAGCGACCTAACCAATTTAATTATTTCACGAAACTTGTCTTATTTTCATATGTCCCGAACGTGGTACATAATCTTATTCTTTCGGTATTTCAGGCATCAGGAAATAAGGTGAGCAGGCTGACAGTATTGTGCGGCTCGCAGAACATTGTATTGCACGGAAAAGTGATAGTACAATCCGACGCTATCATTAGAGGTGATCTGGCCAATGTCAGGACTGGTCGCTATTGCATAATTAGCAAGAATGCAGTCATCCGACCGCCTTTCAAAAAATTCAGCAGAGGGTGAGTCAAATTTTCGATTATATTTACATATGTCGTATTGACAGCTTCAATTTGTTTATTGAAAATCTTGAAGCATATCGCAATAGCAGCAAACATATCCAGACTAGCAGTTTGCGATGTATCAAGCGAGCACAATTCTGTAATCGCATCAAATTTTAAGTGCGATCAAAATATTGTTTTGTTATAAAACGATATAAATCCCTTGATTAGGGTTGCCTTTTTTCCTTTAACAATGGGAAATCACGTGTTTGTGGGAGAGCGGGCCGTCGTAAATGCAGCATTAGTCGGTTCTTACGTTTACATAGGGAAGAATGCCATAATTGTACGTACAATAATCGTTCAATATGTGTGAGTACCAGCACAGTTCTCTCAATCTACTATACTTGTCTCGCTGTAGGGCAGACGATCGGTTCTAAAGGACTGTTGCTACATCGAGGACGGTGCGGTCGTGCCACCTGAGACTATCGTACCGTCCTTCACCCGTTACGCTGGCAGTCCGGCGACATGTATCGAAGAACTGCCTGAATGCACGCTGGATCTTATGATAGACTTCACGAAGAATTATTACGAGCACTTCTTACCGGCGCGGGTTTAACGCTTGTCCAGCGATACACGTACGGTAGCCTATGGTATTTTGACCCGAGTCAAAAAGTTTGATCTTTTCAGTCGTGTGTCATATTGAGAAAATGATTTGTCACTCGTAGTGAAATATGATCAATTATTAGAGGGAGAAAGAGAGAAAAGAAAAAATCAAAGCTGTAAGAAAATACAGTTGAAAAGAACGACTCTAAGATCGGCCGCATAAATTTTTTATATTTTTTACTTTGATTAAATAAAAAATATTCCACATTTTTATAATACAATTTAAAATAGAGTAATTTTTAAATATTTGTGCGCATGTGTCGTAGTTTTGAAATCGCTATCGCGGCCAATTTTAACTGTCGTTCTCTTTATCTGTGACACTTTGTACGCAATTATTCCAAGATTAAATGACACGCAGTGTCATTAACGAAAGAAGCTATTTATTACATTTTGTATACATTTACTCTATAAGAAGGTGTTAGTCATTTTTCTTTTAAATAAAATCGCATATATACTTTCTAGAATAACAATTATTTTACACTGCAGTTTAGTGCACATTAAAAAAGCATCGCCGCACGAGATCCGTTGTTGTTGCAAAAATATGGAAGCATTTAACGAAAAATAAATTTTTAATAAAGTTTCTTATAAAATCACATTTTAATTTCGTGTATAATAGCAAAAGAATTTAGTAAATATTTGGTTTAATAGTTTCTTTTACGAATATACATTTCTGCTGGTATTTAATCGGAGCTATCTATGATTTTTGCATCCGACATTCCTTCTCTCGCACATATGTTTTGTCTATAAAGAAAGCGCAACAATAACATATTGAAGACACACATTAAGAAAACTTCTATTATATCTTACTTTTTATGCCATAATAATTCAAGCGCAAATATGATTACGGCGAGAAAAATTCCATAGCCCATTATGACCAAAGCGAAGTAACATTCCGTGATACCGATAGTGATGAAGCTACTAGTCTGACTCGAGCATACCGGCTTTCTCGTATATAAACGATACTCCTCACGGTATTTGAGTCCATATTCCTCTAATTTTAGAGCTCTGAAAACACCTTTTCTGAATATCGAGTCATGTAAGATTACGTATATTACGTTAAAATTTCAGTTTTTAAGAACTTTTTATGCCAAGTAATTTCAATTTAAACGAACTTTTATTTGCATAACGATAATTCGAAGTATTTTACCCATTTTTTATTATCTCTAAATACGGCGACTGCATTTGTATAACGAGAAGCGGATATAGGACTTTTAAAAAATCAATTTCAGTCAGACCGCACTTTTCCTCCTCCTGATATGTATCTTCCATTAATTCGTAGATCGAACCGATCTCGCCATGGAATGCGAAGAGTTCGTCTTTTATTCGACTTACACCTTCTTCCATGGACATCCAGTTGGATTTGCGTCCCTTTGGTTCGATTCGCTTTTCATTTTACGAACTGTTTTTATTGAATTATTCGAATAACATGAGATTTAATCTATTTTATAAATATAGAACTTAAATTTTTTTATAATTTTCGAATAATATTCGGAGATCAAATTTAATAATTGTATCATCGAAAATTTATTTTTTTCGCTTTTCTACAATTGCTTTTCTAACAGGATCTTGAAATGACTGCCATTCCACAAAATACTCTCTTATTTTTCGCAATTATTTCTTGTTAATATAATTTTGATAACGTAATATGCCTTAGAATACTTAATAATAATAATACAGTTTGCATTATTAATTACCGCGATTTTTACTTTTACCTTGAAGTAATATCGGTTGTACACGACATCCATCGCACCCAGCTTTAACGGGCTATTGAGAAGATCGGGAAGAGTTTTGATAGAATCCGTGGTAGATTGCAGCAGGCCTACGATATTCGCTGTGTAAGCCGCGTACAGACTCAGCGAGGCTAACAATAACATTAAAATGATGATTCGTGACGAGACTCGAAACGGTTCATACATAGATCCTATAAAAAAAAATTAAGAATACATTTTCTAATTTATAAATTTTATATTAAAATTAAATTTTATATTAAAACAGACTCAGCGATAACATTAAAATGATGATTCGTGACGAGACTCGAAACGGTTCATACATAGATCCTATAAAAAAAAATTAAGAATACATTGAATACATTT